TCTGTGAGCCACATAGGTTTATAAATCTCCTTTCATCATGACTTGTAAACACACAGCAATAGTGGGGAATTTTGATCTTGTGGTTCGAATTTTGTATCTTGTATTTCCACGATTTCACCAGTGGGCTCAGACAGCTGCAATGGCCATAGGCTGCCCCTGAATGTCTGAGTGTCCCACTGTTGGTGTATTTCTGCTTCTTCTTGCAGAATATGGAAGATTTCCTTCTTCCTGGTCCTGGTGGGGACTGAGACCTACAGTACATGAAGTATGGTGCTAAGGATTTCCTCTTATTAACCAGACCACAAACCATCTGTCAGGCCTTTTCAATCACTGATTTAAAAGACAGATGGATCACCATGAAAATAGTTCCAGCTAATTGAACTTGTCAAATACAGCTGTCTAAACCCTATCAGACCTCGCTGGAAAATATGCTCTAAACAATTCCTGAAAAAATAGTCTTTGGAATAGCTAGGATGTTTAAAAACAACTTAAAGCTATCTCATGTAAAATCACAGGATATAAGATTGTTCCTTAAATTCTCAGGTAGAACTATTTTGTTGGCCTTGGAGCCTTAAAATCTGTTAAAAAGGATCTTTTCTGAATCTTAGTTGATGATGCCTTGCTCATGTCCTGGCATCCAGGAACTAATGGTTCTCTTCTATCCAAATGAGATATTTCCTGCAGTTCAAGCACACCGTGAAGGAAATGACAATTAGGTATTGAATCCCACAGCAGCAATAGCTGCCTGTAGAAGTTAGTCATGCTGTTGCTGTGAAAATTGTTTACTTATTAATTTTTAAAATATGAGTCTTTCCACAATTGTGTAAATATTTATCAAGGCTTCATTTCCTGTAAATTGCTTGATGTAGGACAACAGTGATTTATACATGTGTAGGTATGCATGTATCATTTTCTGTGAGTGAGTTCATGGCTACTGAATCAAAAGTGTTACGGGAATCAATTACTCCTGAGAGTATATGTACTTCAAATGCTGCAGTCTTAAACAGATCCCTTCCTACTTTTTCATCTTTAACCACTAATTGAAGAGGGCAGTTCTGAGTTTGAATAACCTGCAGGGCAAGAATTATTTATAACAGATTGCACACACAGCACTTGGGTACATTTTTCAATGCTGTGGATGAGAACATTAAACCCTAGAGGAGACGGCTGCGTCTGTAATCACAGCTTGATATACACTTGCTGTAACAGGTGACACCACGTATCCCAAATATCAAATGTGTAATATTCTTTTTGTACTTGGCTTAGAGTAATGAAATATTTGAAAATGCTGGGAGGCACATCCATGCAGAAATGCGTTTGCCCTGGAACTGCAGGTCTGCGGAGCTTTCCTGCTCATGTCTCGTGTGAGTGAGCTCCTTCTGTTAGGAAGGCAAGTCCCGGCGTCTGTGCGTAAGCACAGGCGTGTGTCTGTGTGCATGTGCTGGAGGAAAACGTCAGCTCAGACTTCTTCTGACTTTTTGCATTGGCTGAGATAAACTCCTGTGATCTCCCGCTGTTTCCTGTTAGTAGACTGTCAGAAGAAAGATATTTATTCAACGCCAAACATAATTTCATTTTTAAGTCTTAAGGATGCATTTCCATTTAAATTTAAGGAGGGGTTTTATCATCTAGCAGTGCTAGAATTTTAACTAGTGTAAATTAGCTTAGAGCTGTGCAATAGATTCTCATCTCTTTTGTGTGTGGATTCAATGAGGGAAAGCTTACATTACACTGTATAAAAAGAGAAAGGGCAAGAGAGGGGAAGAGAGAAGTGAGAAAGAGGAAGCTTTTTCCTAGGAGGCAAAAATTCATTTCTCCAGTGTTCAAGATTTTGGGGAATAATGAAATATTTGCACAATACTGACTACCTGATTGAAAAAAATATAGTTGAGGGAGCTCATCCTCATTAGGTAACTGGCTGAGAAAAACAGGGGCACAGCATATGGAGCTGAAGGGAAGTTTCCCTTCAGATTAGTCAGAGTGGAAACAAAGCTCATTCTCCGTCAGTTGTGAAACTTGCTCGAATCCCTCTCAATACTGAATAACCCATCACTCAGAAACCAGAAACAGCCAAGTTTTGTTACAGGATGCAGCAGCAGGCACCACCAGTCAGCTTCTCTGGAGTTCAGTATTCCCATCACTTACCTGAAGTCAAATTTTCGGGTGTATCTAAACAAATGTAGGTGTTTTAGAAGAGTTATACAAAACTCAGTTTAATGTTGCTTCCTCCTAAAACTAGGCACTTTTGATGAATTCTGTTTTTAAATTTTATGTAGAGATGAGAAAAGTTTTTTATGATATTTTGTTTGGAAGGGCCAATCTGTAGTAACCAAAACCTACTATAAGGAGACATCAACTGAAATAAATTTCCTATTAAAGCTTTAAAACCCAATGAGATTCAACACCCTTGTATGTTTCACTACATCATTGCTAAAAGATAAAAAAATGATGTTTTCCAAAGCAAAAAGTTTTCATCTTGAAAAGTAGGATATTTCCAAAAGTGTCTGGGACTTGAAATTAGCAAAATTGAAATTTTTATCTGTCTCCCTATACTGTAATTTTCTTTGGGTTTTAAGTTCATCTGAAACTTTTAAGTGTTTAAGTTTCATCTGATTTTTGCAAGAACATTTTTGTTCACTTCTGTTCACCTAGAAGCTTGTGGTTTTGTTCACCTAGAAGCCCATTTCTACAAAGGGCTTACTTCTTTCCCAGTTGCTGTAATGATTACAGGCAATGAACTCATCTGCTCAAGTGAAGCTCAGGACTTCCTTCATCATCTGGAAATTGATGACTTGAGAAAGGTCTCCTTATATGTTTCATGCATCTATCTTCCCTTCCAGTGGATTACAGAAAAGTGAGAAGGCTCCATTATAGCTACAACCAACGTGTATCCTAAGCATGAAAGAAAAGGAGAAAGATTTAGAGTTGTTGGCCTGGTTTCACTCTTAGCTTGCCCCTTTAGCTCTGCCAATGGTCAGGTCCTCTGAGTAGCAGGTGGCACTGGTAATATGTGCTCTACATAGGCTTTCCTGTAAACTGGACCCAGCAGAGCAGTAGCTACATTTCTGAGCATTTAGCCTTGATTTGTCCCACATCTGTTCCCAGTTAATAATTACATAAATAATTGCAAGGGGATGGTATTTAGCCTTGAGTTCATTTTAGAAAAGAGAGCCTCGCTGTGATGATGTGGCCAGTATTTGTACCCTTGGTTTGAAGCAATTGTATTGTTACCATGTCCTGATGAGCCTTTCCTGTTGCCACTGTTGCCTTGAAAGCTGGAAATTGCTGCAGGTGGTGAGCAGCAGGGTTTGATTAGTCCAGATTCCATTTTTGCATTTTTTGAAAAAGAATGCAGGAAAAGGGAGGCTCTGCAGCTGAGTGTCAAACCCAGCCAGAAATACTGTAGTTATTGTGGGTGATGATATGGGTCACACAGTAGTATTTTGGGCCAGGAATATAAAGTGAGACCATGCCAGAAAATTGGCAGAGAGCATTGCTTTCACTTGCGGTTATGTAAGAGCTCAGTGAGAAGGCCAGACTGCAAGACAAGTACCTTTTCTTCCATTTTTACATTAAAAATGTGATTTTCACCAATGCTAGGCTGAGCTACAGGCTGATAACATGAGACATAGGAATGGCATGAATTTGGTACACAGATCTGTATCAGAGATCATGCAGTCTTCATGCAATCAGGAAAACACTCCACTGCTGTTCGTGAAGTACAGCCTTGTAGCAATAATAATAATAATACCCAGAAATTGTCATGATTTTCATAAATAACAGTGGCAGCTACATCACTTTCCTGATTTCCATTTGCAACAGATTCACTGGTGTTTAGGTTTTTTGTTTGTATTTTTTTGCATCAGTTCATCATGTTCTTCTAAGATCCTTCTCTATTGCCAGTACTGTAGCATCATACTTCTTTCCCATGCTCATGAAAAATTAGGAGACTTTTTGATGCCATGTGGCATCATGCTAAGCATATAAAGTGAGGGGAGAAGAAGGAAAGGGTCATGTTTGGAATGATGACTTCTGTCTTCCCAAGTAACTCTTACTTTTGATGGAGCCCTGCTTCCTTGGAGGTGGCTGAACACCATTGCCTGCCACGGGAAGTGGTGAATGAACTTCTTGTTCTGCTTTGCTTGTGTGTGCAGCGATTACTTTACCTGTTAAACTGACTTTCATTCCACCCAAAAGTTTTCTCACTTTTGCTCTTCTGATTCCCACCCCCATCCCAACAGCGGTGTGGTATTTAGCTGCCAGCTGGGGTTAAACCACAACAGCCCTTCTTGCTGCCGAGTGTGGGGCTCAAAGGGTTCAATATAATCACAGATTGGATTGGCATGTGCTAAATTGAATTCATAGCTGTTATTACTGTGTAGCCTTTAATCTGCAGGCTCTGTGCTTGCCATGGCACTTGCTTGCCTTACTGCTACATCTGCGTTGACTGAGGCATGGAATGGCATTGGCTGACTGCAGTAATTTCCTGTAGGGACTGTGTTCAGTTAAAGATGCCCTAAGTCAGGCATCATCTTGTGTGTAATCACAGCACAGAGCTGCACCCAGCTTGTGTCTCTTTAACAGCAGGATTTTTAAGCAGCTTATTTTCATGCCGTTGGTAGCTCCTTCTACTGTTAATTGGTTTTAGAGGCACATAGTTTGCTTGGATCTGTACTGCAAGAAGGGGAATGAAGAAGCTTTTAATAGGCACTCCTATGCTTACTGTGTAGTATATTTTATGCACTTGCAATCCCTTCCGCTTATTCTTCAGCCTGGGTCCAGCGTTAAAGCAGCTGCTTATGTAGGACAGGAATGCTGCAGAGCGATCACTGGCAAGCAGAACATTCAAGCTCACATTGTTGTGCAGGTTCTCAGAAGGATCCTGTCACACTCCTGCAGAGTAACATAACATCAGTGTTTCTAGGTGTTTGCACGTAGACCTCTCATCGACCCTAATGTTCCTCTAACAGGATTCCCTTGCTGCCTTTTTTTCTCCTCAGATTCGGCACATCAAACTCAGTGTCAGCTCTGTGGGGACAGCAAGCACACACCTGCAACCATGAGTGCTCTCAACCTCCCTGTGGCTGAGCCAGCAGGACATTGTGCCTATCCATCCCGACTGATGCCTGCTCTGCATCTCCATCACTGCATCTCCGTCCCTTCCTTGGTCATTTGCTAAGTCTGAGCTGCTCCCTTTCCATCCAAAGAGCTCACTTTTACCTGACAGGGTTTGGTGGCTTGCAGTGACTCCTGGGAGTTAGGGTGAAATCATATGAATTTTTACTGGCAGGAAGGAAAAGATGAGTAGGCTAAGGAGGGTGGGGAGTAATCTCTTAGAGTTGTAACTGAGAGAGGAAGATAAATCAGACTTTGGACTGTAGATGTCAGGGAGCAAACCAGGGCTCTTAATTCCTGCACATGGGCATGCATCAAATATGAGTCCTACCCATCTTCACATGTGGCTTTCCCACTGAATCTGGAAGGAGGGAAGGAATCAGTGAAAGGTGAATGCTCTTGGCAAACTACTTCATTAAAAGTGAATACCTCCACTCCCCTGTCTTACAGAAACTGGTGTAAGCCTGGAAGGGTACTATGAAAGCTCCCATTCAGTGGAATTTTCCACTTGGCTAATATACATATGCATGCTGTGTGCTGCTGGGATGCTGGCAGGGTGGATGCAGGGACTACAGAATGAGTGGCTTCTTGGTGCTTCAAGTACAGGAAAAATATAAGAGGATAATAATAAGAAATGGCTTATAAAAGCCAGCTCTTGAAAGTACTATAAAATAGCAGTTATTTGGGAAGTGAATGACAGGGTTTCACAAAAGACTACTTATCAGAGACCCCACACATCAAGCTGAAATGGTGATTTTTCTATTTCTATTTATTTCAAGGTTTGCATTCATTAGGATTGATATAAGGTTAATAAAAAGCTCCAACATTTCTGACAGTGCCAGAAAAGAGTGTCTCTGCAGATCTGTAACTTAGGGGAAGAGAAGGCACCTGTAGATATCTGAATATATTGAAACACAATGTGTGCTGTGGAAGGGGCTGATCCCAGGTTCCCCACTAACCTACCTGAACTGTGTCGCTTGAAATGCTGAGCTCCTGGAGGAAAAAAAAAAGGCCAGTGTGCCTTCCTCTCACTGTTTTGGTTGTTTCATGAATCAGAATTGGCTGTGGGTTGCTGCCACCATGGAGGTGTAAAGAGTTGTGAAACCCAGGTGGTCGAGCACCTCCTTGATGCAGATGCACACCAGGTGGGGTAGGACAGTACAACCCCTGTCCTCGATTTTTGCCTGAATAAAATTGCTTCCTGATTACAGGCTGGCTCTGATAATCACCACTGCCTTTTTTTCTTAGGCATTTTGTGGCAAATCTGGAACATAAATTTCAGTGAGGAAATAGGCAAATCTTGGAATACTGCAGAAGCTATATTGTTTCTTCAGGCCCAGGGCCTTCAGAATAAGAAGATAAATTGGAATGAATGAAGAAATTATTTTTATTAACTCATGGTGCATGTACATCTTGTACTTTTTTCCCCAGGTCCATGCAAGGTTCTCTCGTATTTGTTGTATCATTGGGGCCCCACATACAGGCCCTCACTTGTGAAATAATGCATCTGCTTTCTTGAATCTAAAATTTGGCACAGGAAGGTAATTTAAAACTTGAGTTTCTTAAGAGAAGTATCTAAAGCTACGTGGCACACAGGAAAGAAAGATTACAAAAGGGAGCTCAACCCTCCTATCCCCTACTGAGATCAAGGTCATCTCTGAAGAAATTTTCACCTTCCTTCCGAAGGTCAGATTAACTAGGAAGAGTGAACTTTTAGTTTCTTAAAGGAAGTTTCCAAGCAGGGCACTTCAAATAGTGTATTTTTCTGTTCTAGTCTTGGTCTCTGAGCATCAGCACCCCTTCCACTTTGCTCTAGATAAAAAAACATGTTGTGCTTCTTCCTGTTACAGTTATCAGCATTATAATGCTTACTTTGAGCTTGTTCCTTGCTAAAAGCTGAAGAGATGACACATTGTAAACAACAACATCTCTGCTGTGGAGACCAGTTTTGCATATTGAGTTTTGTATTTACAAAGACTTTAACAAAAATGAGATCAATTTACAGATCATGAAATATCAAAAGGAAAAGAAAAGAAATTTTATTTTTTTTTTATTTGTATTCTACTTTCCCATTATTATTTTTTTGCAGGGCAAAAAAAGGGGGAAGTGAAAATGGAAGAGTAAGAGCATGTCCTTTTCCTGATCTCAGGGTCCATGAATACCTTTGATATGAAAACTGAGATGTTCATACAAATCTCAGATACCAAAGTAGGGCTTTAAGTAAAATGTGTAACTACTATCTACTCATATTTTTGTGAAATTTCTATGCAATCTACATAGGAATCTCAAAAAAACCCCAAATAGATATAAATTTTGTTATACATCCATCCCTCTATCTATCTAGCTATCTGTCTATCTATCATCTGTCTCACAAGACAGACTGTGAAAATGTTACTAATTGGCAATGCTCGTTATTTATGCAGTGCTTAGAAATGTTAAAAAAACCAAACCCAAAACTCTACAGATATTGTTCTGGTTTACCACAATCAGTCTTTTGCTAATGCAGGACTCTCTACATTTAATTATTTTGAAGATGCTCTTAAACCATTTCTTTCAGCAGTTCTTTAATTAATCTCTTTGTATAATGAATGACAATAGAGCTTCATCCCCGCTACAAAGGGCCTGTAATTCTAATGCCACTTTCAGTGTTTATAGCCTGCATAGATAATATGTGTTAGACCAGAATAATACATAATATTACAGAAATGCAAGTAATACTGCAGGTATTTTAGGAGCACAGATGAAACAAAGGAAGATTAAGGGGATTTGACAACATGACAAAAATGTCACCGCACAAGGACATCCATCTCTAGAGTCTTAGTTCTGTATTACTGTGAGGGCAACAATCAATGGATTAAAATACCCCTTTGATGAGTGTAATTTGGCAACAATTTGCAAACATGATAATGTGCCTTGTTAATTCAAGGGCATTCAACATAGCTGTCTTGACATTTTCATTGCAGGAGCTGTCAAGAATAATCTGGAAGAGTAAAAGAGTCTTATTGGAAAGTGTCTCCTTTCCTTCAGTAATCTAATAATCTATGGTGGTAAGGTCAAGTAATTTTTAATGATATAGCCTTAATCCTCTATCAATTACTACTTTTAATTACAGCTGAGCTGCTGAAATGTATAGAGATCTTCCTGGAGTTAAAATGAACAGCTATAACTCTGCTCTGAAGAGTCCACTATTGCCAAAGAGGACTCTTGCTCTATCACCACCTCCCTGGAAATCAAAACCAAAAGGTGCTGAGCCCATTACACATCGTGCCAAAGATCTGGTTGTGTCACATCTCATATCCATGACAAACCAAGCCAAGATTACTGAACATTTTTTGTGGCTTTTTCTAATCTACACCTACTTGACTTCAACTTTTTCTATGTTTCTAACTAGCTTGCTACACTGATAGCTGTGGATATATTTTCTAGATAATTGTGAGTATCTCTATGGGCCATGACTTTTTAAAATACCAATCAGTCTGACACTAGGTACCTTCCCTAGGGAGAAGGGAACACCTTGCCTGGGAACTGTGAAGGCCTGCTCAGAGCAGGGTGACCCCAGTACTGAGCAGCACAGTCCAGGCTGTAACATGCATACTGATCACTTGAAGTCTTTTGGGTGGAATAATAAAAGTACACACATTATTAAAGCCAATGTACAAATTTCTTAGCCCACCAGCCACTCTAAAAGTTTGTAGTTCTCTGTTGATGTCATATAACAAATTTTGCTGAGTTACCTGAAGAACTCACGACTCTGCTTTCTGATGGCTTCAGAGGATTTGTTTGGTAATGGCACAGTGATAACTTTACCGATTCTGCAGGGTAGTACTGCAAGACTCCAGCTCCTTATAAAAAACCAAGTAAATCAAAACTCAGTGTACTTCACATCAAGTGAAGACTGTATTTTACTCCTCTCTGTGTGTGTAGGACTCTCCAGAAGTCTAAAACAAAGATGCATATAATGACCTTGCAAATATGATCAGCGTAATTCAGAGAACGTAATTCTTCAAGCCCTGACTTTGTTTGTCACTTACCATCACTGTAGTTTCTTTTCATCCTTAATTTTTGCTCCTCTCCAGTATTTCCTATAAAGAGTTTTATTTAGAGGAAAAAATAAAAAGAGGGGTTTATGCATCCATTATTTAATGATGGACTTCTATCCTGGGGGAAAATAGGCAAGAAGGATTCTGATGGCAGAGTGAAGTGAATTAAAGATAAAAAAAATTCCTAAATTTGGCTGAGAGTTTATGACTTAATTTGCATAACTCTGGTTTTAATGTCAGTGACTTCTTTCCTGATTCATTGTTGGGATTTTTTTTTGTTTTCAAATTTAATTGCTTGTGTATTAATTTTCACAATTCTGGAGCCAGCATCCCTGTGAGATCTAATTTAAGGACTGTATTTCCTCTTTGGAAAATAAGAGACAATTTCACAAAGAGAAGGAAAAATCAAGAACAATGCCATTTTTTATATAACATACTTTTATTTCTTTTCAGAACAGTATTTCTTTTCTAGGACTTCTTAGGAGGGGTTATTGTCTTTATATACTTGCCTACATGCAGTTTTTGGATTCTCACCATCACAAAAGTCCAGAAAAGGCACCACAGGCTGCTCAGACTTGTCTAATTGGACCTGATACACAAAGGGTACCCTTGGACTAGGCAGAGGGAATTCTAGCCTGCTCCACTCCTCACTGGTTGATGTTTCCAGGAAAGAGCAAAGTAGTCTGCACATCACTCTGCTGAAGGAGCAGCTAAATTGTACCTCATCAGAGGTGTCTTAACACAGTGCATGTGCAGAACAAGATATGTGCAGAACTACGTTTTCCAAACAGGAATCATTATAGGAATAAGAATCACGTGCCAAAATTTGTCTAACCTGCTTTTTGTGGTTTATTTTGTGCTCTGTTTCTCAGTGCTGATGGTGCGGCCCCACAAAATCTGTGTGGTGGCAAAGCTGCTGAGCACCATGTGAAAGTGAGCCTGAGGGGACACAGGGTCACATCCCACAGGAGGGAGCTGCTTTAATTCCCCTCTGGAGCAACATGGGCATGCACAACTGGTGAGCAGCAGGGCAGACCACGGGACTGGGGTACTTGTTGCCAAGCCTTTGCCGCCTCAGTGCAGGATGAACAAGCTGGGGGGCTCAGCTGAAGGATAAACATCCTCTTGCTTTCACCACAGGATAACATTTTGTACACCAGAGTTAACACCACATCCAAAATATGTCTCAGCAAAGCCTTCCCTGTCTTCCTCCTTATTTCTCACCATTTTTACAGATAAGGCTATGCCAAGCATCCCTGCTGAGCGGAATCTCTGCCTTTATTTTCCCTACCTTCCTTCCCTCTTCTGGAAAAAAAAAAAAAAGGCAAAAAAAGGCAAAAAACCCAAAGCTTCCAAAACAGAGTATATAAAAAGCCATATTACTATAAAATGAAGCACAGAGTAGGACAAAGATTTGTAGGAAATGCAAATTGAAGATATAATGAATGTTTAATGAAATTAGGAGAAGCTTATGGATGCTCAAGTGCTGGAGCTTTGTGGTTGCCTAGGACATCCCAGAAAACACACCGAAGTGTCTGAAAAGGCAGTCAGAGTTTTGTGTGATGAAGATCCTCCCCAAGGAGTAGCAAACATTGTGTAGATCTGATCTATAGAATATGGAGTCTTCTGATTTCCAGTTAAACTGGTAAGAGCAGAGTGCCCCCACATAAAGAGAGCTCTAAATCTGACTGTGTTACTGGTGGAACAGGAATGATTATCTCCCACATGTCTTTTTCTAAGGGTGCCTTGTTCTTGGTTTCTAATTTCTTTACTGGT